TTGTGTGGTGGGTAGTGCCCCCTCCCCCCCAACCCCCCTTCTGCGCCGGGTTCTCCCCTCGTTTTATTTCCCAACCCCCCCCCCCCCCCCCCCCCCCCCCGGGTGGCTGCAACTCTGGATTTCGGTATTTTCAGGACCCGCCCAGGATCTGGCCGGAGGGGGTGGGGGAGAGGGGAGGGCGAGGGGCATCGTGTGGGAGGCAGGAGGGTGCGGGCAGAGTTCAGGGACCCCAGGCTAGCACTAATGGTGACCTCAGGATTTATCCCGTGGTGGCCACGCTCTCCAGACCTTTCCACGCACTGCTCAATTCGATGCTCCCAGCTGGCCTGTGAGGCAGGTGTTATCGTCCCCGCTTTGCAGATGAGGACATCGAGGCACAGAAAGGTTAAAGCGGCAGAGCCAGGATCTGAACCTGGGTCTGTGGCAGTCCGTTGTGGAGAATATGTTGTGGAGAAACCAGATCTTTCTCTCTGTGTGTGTGGACAGGAAAAGAAGGAGAGGGAGGGACTTGGGTCACCCTGTCCGATCAGTTTGAAAACAACACGCGACAAACCCCACGTGCTTGCCACGGGAATCGCGACGTCTCCCGAGTGCTGAGCACCACAGTTCAAGCCTCCATCCGGGTCAGTTGGGGCCCAGAGTGGGAAGGGTTCCCGGAGGAGGTTGCGGAAGCAGGAGTTGAAGTTGGCGAGAGGCTTACTTTGCTAACCAAGGATTTGCCAGCCCCGCCCTCACCTGCTTCCACACCAGGCTGCTTGCTTGCTGGGAACGGTGACACCAGGGGCCTGGGTGTGTGTGTGGCCGGTGGTGAGTGGACCATTCTACCCAGGAAATCCTCGTGTGCCTGGCCTGAATGTTCAGATCGACTCAGAAGAGGAAACGGGCAGCCAAGTTTCACTTCTTATACAGAGCAGACTCTTTGCTCTCTATAGGGTTTCCCAGGGGGTGTGGGTGTGGGTGTGGGTGTGGGTGGGCTGGAGGAATTCCTTGAAAGCCAGGCCCCTCCAGTGACTTGAGGACTTGATTCCAGGCCCTAGAATCCAGACAGCGGGATGGTGACTGCCGTCAGCAGTGCTGTTACGGGAGATCCTTTCCTGGGGAGTTTGGGGCGGGGGCCGTGGCTCCTAACCTGGATGGGCCTCAGAATCCTGTGGGAGCACTTGTAGAGATGCCCAGGCCACAGCCCGGACCTGTGGGGTCAGAATTTCCAGGGCTGTGGCGCCGGGACATCTGGGTTTTGGCAGACATCCCCGGGAAGATGCTGGGTTCTGGTAGGTGTGGAGAGAGAGGACCCCAAAGACCCTCCCACGAAGCCTATTCCTACTGCCCCACCCCCTGCCCTTCCCCAGGGACCTTCTGAACCAAGGGTCCCCAGAAAACCACTCAGCGGCTCCCCTCTGTTCGTCCACCGCCTTGTGCCTCAGTGTGAGAGATCTGGGTGCTCACCTCCTTAATCTGTGCCTCAGTGTCCATGGTGCTGGAATGGGTCAGCCATTGTCCCCTCCCTTCCCACTGGGAGCTTCCTTTCTGTCTTGTTGGCAGCCTCAGATGTGTCTGGTGTTTGCAGGTCCTCTGAGGATCTGGGGGGTTTGGATTTGGGTGGCAGTGGGGTGAGGTGCCTCCATTGAAGCTTCTCCATGATACTAAGGAAGAATTGTATCCAAGGAGTCAGGGGTCGGCCATGGCTGCATGTTCGACAGTGGGGGCGTCTCATAGGCGGTGGGGGGGGGGGGGCTGTCTCGTGAAGGAGTGGGACTTGAACTCTGCTCCGAGGGGGTGCGAATAAGGATAAGAGACACAGCCTGCTGGGGCAAGGGCAGGAAGCCCCAGGCCTTTTGCCAGCTCCAGACCATTCCCTGGATTCCCTGGATGCCTTCTCTTCCTCTGTTCCTGGCTTTGTCCTCTGGGAGCCTTTCCATCTGCAAAGGTAGCTGGTGGTTACCTTGCTTCTGTCCATGTTCAAATCTTGGTGTTCGTAAATCCAAATTTTGTAAGCTTAAATCTCTTAACCTCCCCGTGCCTCAGTTTCTTCATCTCTAGAATGGGGGAAATAGTAGTAACTATCTTGTGGAGTTGTCATAAGGACGTGTAAATGACTACGGGTAAAAGTGCCTCGAACAGTGCTTTATCCGTTAGGGATAAAGCCCCCCCCCCCCCCCCCCCGCCTTCTTGCTTTTGCTTGTGCGGTGCCCTCAGCCAGCAGCTCCCTCCTCTCCCCATCATTGGTAACTAACTGTCATCCTGAATTAAATCCAGAATCACAAATCTCTCCTTCCTTCCGCCCCAGCCATCTCTGACTGCCCATCCGAATAACTACTTCCTCCAAGCCCACCTCCCTCGACCTCCCTCTTTAGGCTCTGAGTTCTGAGTGGGCATAGGGTCTGGGCCCCCAGCTCCCCTGCCCTCGCCTCTGTCTCTACCCGCCTAGAAGGTGCTTAGTGAACAGTGTTGACCTGCTGGGAACTGCATGCCTCAGTGGAAAAGCATTGCTTGGCCTGACTTGCTGGGGGGCCTTGGGACGACTCCTTGGTGGGTGGGGGAATCCCTCTTCCCACCCTGGCGTTCTAGGAGTCCCCTGACTTGTGGTGTGACCTTCAGGGAGGGAGGAAGAGATGAGAATCTGTGGGTGAGGCTCTCATCTGAAGAAGGAAGGTCCCCCTACTGTGTAAAAAAAATCAGCTAATTTGCTGCTTGAAAAAACAACAATAACAACAACAAACTCACTAGCAAAGAGCCCGACCCAGTGTGTGTGGGGGGCAGCAGGGGTTCCTGGGGGTTGGGTGTGAGAGTGGGCCGAGGGTGGGTGCGTCCTGATGACAAGTGTCTGTGGGAGAGGCTAGCCCGGGGTCCACCCTGCCCCGCCCCCCTGCTCCAGTGCCCCACCCTCTGCTGCCTGGCCCGCCTTTCCCTCGCTCTCCCAGGGGAAGAGGGCTGGCCCGAGCTGGGTGCCCGCTGATTGCATCCGCCCAGTCGTTCTCCCCAACAGGGCCCTGCTCCCCATCTTAGGGTTGAGGCCGGCACAAGCATGCAGAGAGATGAGCTTTATTTCTGGAAGTCACACAGGCCCTGGTGGGAGGGCCAGACTTGAACTAGGAGACTCCAGGGGCCCGTGCTTGTGCTGTGAGCTGGGCAGTTGGCTGGAGATCAGGGCTGCTGGCCTGGGTAAGCAGAGTGTGGCTCCAGCCCCCTCTGAGGTCCCGGTTGGGCCTCGCAGGTTGGCTTATGGCACGACAACCCCCCCCCCCCTGCCCCACTCCTTCCCCTCACGCTGTGGGCACAGCTGGATTAGTTCTGGGCTATGTACTGGGGACAGAGACTCACTTTCTGCTATAACTTGACCCTAATAACCAGTCCCCATGCTCCAGGCCCCTGATTCCCAACAAAAACTCACCCTTGCCCTGTCTCCCAATAAACGTTGTTTTATTAACCCCACCCCCAATCACAGCTCTGCCCCCCTGTAGCCTGGTTCCAGCCCATGGCCTCCATTCCAGCCCCCACAACCCCCTCACCAAACTGAACTGCAAAGCAGACCCAGCTGGGCTCCAGGCTGCTTCCAGTCAACCCCAGTCTCAACTCCCAGTGAACACCACTCCCGGCCCCAGTCCCCTCCTGGCCTGGACCCGATCTTCCTGAGGACTCTCCATAGGGTCAGGTATAGGACAAAGTCCCCAGACCTCTCTGAGGTCTCTGAGGGGCTGGTCCAGCCTGGGGAGGCCTAGGGAGCTCTGGCCTCAAGTGGGCCTCCAGGGCCCCCTCCTGGGGGGCTGTGGTCAGACCCTGACTCAGAGGCCAATTCCCTGGACACGGGAGAGGACCTGGTGGGGTCAGGAAGCCTCCTGGATGTGCAGCTTGTTGAAAAATTAGTTTGGTTGCCAGTTAGGAACAAGCCCATTCTGTTTTGTTGGGATGTGGTTGTACTGAAAACATGGGCTTCGCTGCCCATCTTATGAGTGAGACCGGAAATGCGTGGGTGAGAGCTGGGGTCATGACACAAACACATTTGGGACGGGGCAGAACACCCTTCCCCCTTCCCCACTGGCTGGAGCAGGGGTCACCCAGGCACTGGGGTCCAGTGACATGGGGCTTGTCTCTTCTCCTGGAGACCTCCGGCAGGGAGAAGGGGCTGAGCAGAACTTTCTGGGTGGAGACAACGGACAGAACAGCCCTGCAGGCTGGCCCAGGCTCTCCGCGAAAGCCCAGCGGAGCCAGCCCACCTAGGTTTTCCCTCCTCGGGGCACTTCCGGGACACTCCCTCCCCCTTCCTGGGCTTCTCACCAAGGACCTGCCACTTTCTGCAGGAGGTGGGCTGAGGGTAGGGTCGTTCTGAATGCGATGTTCCCCTCCGGTGCCTGGGGGACAACACCTGGCCCCTGATCCCGAGTCAGCCACCCCCAGGCCCCTCTTGGGGGTGTCTGAAGACACCGAATCCGGGACCGACCGAGCTGGACCAGTTCTCAAGCCCGGCACCTCGGGAGCTTCCTAGAGGCTCACTCCGATCTAGAACCTCACCCCACAAGCCCCCAGGGGATTCTCATGCTTCACCAGGTTTAGCAACCAGTGGTCCAGGGCATTTCACTCATTTTTTTGGACGGGGACGCTGAGGCCTGGGTGTCCAGGCTCGCACAGGCACGAGCACTCCTGGCTCCCTGTCCAGTGCCCTTTCTCGTGTCCTGTCCCCAGAAACCCCCTTGCAGGCACTGACCTCGTTTCCTAGCCGCTCGGAATCCTCCCTCGTCCACACGTTTGGAGGTGGGGGAGAGGGCGAAGTCTACAGAAGATGAAGTTGGGGAACAAACACCGGGAGAGCCCCCTCTGAGTGGAATCCTTCAGACACACGCTGGCCTGCAGCGCCATCTTCTGGCAAATTCTGGTATTACTGTCTCCTTCCGTCCAGTTTACAGAGAGGGTCCAGCGCTGGGCTTGGCGTGCCTCGGAGGTTGGGATGGAGCTGGGAGACGAATACACATTCGTCTCAGGGCTTGAGGCTCTGGTGGGGCAGCCAAAGAATAAATGGTCTGGTCCAAGGTTAGCTCTTTCACCCGACGCCCAGCCAGCCAGGGCGGCCCCAGACTTCACGGTGACGGACGAAGGTTTTCCTGGTGGCTGACCCCCGGGGCGGCATGCCCAGGAGACGTGCTGGGTGGCCAGCCCCTGGAGGGCAGGCGCTGTGCGGGCAGTCTTTTGTGTTTCCCGGAGGGCCCACAGCATCACAGCAAGGAGGGAGCTAACGCTTGCTCAACACTCACCACGCGCTTGGAGACTCTGCGTCACGTTGGGCACTCGTCCTTTGCCATCCGGTCTCACCATCCCCATTTCTTAGATGAAGAAACTGAGGCACAGACATAAAAGGTGACTTGCTCAAAGCTGCACAGTAAGTTGTGAAAGTAACGCACGTGGAATGTGTGTTACCTGCCAGCCTCACTGCCGAGGGCTTTGCAGCTCGTCTTTGTGACCACCCCCCCCCCCCCCATGCACATCTATCAGCAGCCCCGTTGTCGAGGTTCAGAAAGGAGAAGTAACTTGTCTGAGGTCGTGCTTCGCTGGTAAGCGGTAGAGCTCGGATTTGCGCCCCGGCAGCCAGGGGTCAGAGCCCATGCTTGTAACACCACCGTCTGCTCTGCCCACGGCCTGCTGGGCCCCGCTGGCCTCACCTACTGTCTGCGCTCCGTTCCAGGGCTCTAGAGGCCACGGGCATGATGCTTCGGGTCCTGGTTGGGGCTTTCCTCCCCGCGATGCTGCTGGCTGCCCCACCGCCCATCAACAAGCTGGCACTGTTCCCGGACAAGAGTGCCTGGTGTGAGGCCAAGAACATCACCCAGATCGTGGGCCACAGCGGCTGTGAGGCCAAGTCCATCCAGAACAGGTGGGAACCCCGGGGGTGTGAGGGGAGTGGATGCGTCCAGAGGCCCGGAGGGAGGCGGAGACAGGGCTGGCCGCCCTTCCCTGCCTCCGCCATGGTGTCACGGGCGCCGTGACCGTCTCCTCCCACAGGGCCTGCCTAGGACAGTGCTTCAGCTACAGCGTTCCCAACACCTTCCCACAGTCTACGGAGTCCCTGGTTCACTGTGACTCCTGCATGCCGGCCCAGTCCATGTGGGAGATTGTGAGTATGGCTGCCCGCCCCTGCCCAGCCTCCCCGCAGAGACTTCCGGGCCTTGGCCCCAGTGCTTATGAGTAAGGCCCCACTGTGTGCAGGGTCCAGGGCTTGTGCTGGGGATACACGTGTGGGCCTTGCCACGTGATGGCTTATGAGTCTGACACCAGCGTGTACAGGACAAGGGATCTCTTAAAGCTCCATTCTGATGTCAGTCACATTCTGAAGTCCTTTTAGTGGTTTCCCACTGTCTTAAGATGAGACCGAACTCCTTGTCGTGACCCACAGTGCCTGGCATGGCCTGGCTCACCAGTCTGTTGAGCTTTGGCCTCTCTCATCTCCTTTACTAGCTCGACACTTGACATCAGTGTACTTTCGTTCAGTCTCTCATGCCTACTCTTCTTGCTGCCACCACAGGGCCTTTGCACATGCTCTTTCCCTGTTTGCTTCTCCTCCTCACCCAGTGAACGTCTGTTTATTCTTCCGCTTGTGGCTCAGCAGCGTTTTCTCGGGGCCCTATCCCACCGCCTTGACCGCTGTGTGCCTCCGCTTTGACTCCTGTCACAGTTTTCCATCTGCATTTGGGTGATTTTGACAAATCTGTTTCCCCCACTAGACTCTGAATTCTTTGAGGAATCATGCCTGTCCTTGTGTCCCCAGAGCTGGCAGGGAGTAGGTGCTCCGTGGAAGGAAGGAAGGAAGGAAGGGAAAAGGAAAGGCCGTTGGAAAAGTGTGACCTTCGGAGAAGAGCAAAACCCTGGAGGGCTCAGTAGGGCTGACCTAGGCTGGGCTGGGGGTTTGGGATTGGGCTCCTTGAAGAAGTGATGTCTGAGCACAGATCCAGAGGTTGCGTACAAGTTACCTGGGCCAGTCTGGTGCGGGTGGTAGGGGTGGGTTAGGCAAGGACCTTTCAGGCAGAGGGAACAGCATGTGCGAAGTCTCAGATCAGGCAGCTCAGAGTTGGCGGTGGGGAGGGGCTCAAGGTCAGGGGCAGAGAGGTCAGCTGGAGGCAGCTTGAGGGTCCTGCGGGGCCTTAGTAAGGAGCCTGAACTTTTCTTTAAGTGCACTGGGGAGCACTGAGGGGAATTTTAGGCAGGGGCAGGCCACGTTGGGTTTTCCCCTCAGGCCTCTGTGAGGGAATGGTAGGGAGGCGGCAGGACTGGGTGTGAGGAGACAGCTTGGGTGGGACCTGCAGGGGCTCGCCCCCACCCCCAGTGGAGGGGCCCACAGAGCTAACTGGGGTATCTCGGGTGGGCTCAGGGATTCTGGGGTCTCTGGGATTGCTGGTCCCGTGAGGAATGTGGCCCTCGGGGCCTCCCTGCCAGCCCCGGGCCTTTGGAAACATGTCTTCTCTTCTCTCCTGCCCTCCCCAGGTGACCTTGGAGTGCCCCGGCCATGAGGAGGTGCCCAGGGTGGACAAGCTGGTGGAGAAGATCCTGCACTGTAGCTGCCAGGCATGTGGCAAGGAGCCTAGTCATGGGCTGAGTGTCTACGTGCAGGGCGAGGACGCGCCGGGCTCCCAGCCGGGCACCCGTCCCCACCCCCACCCTGGAGGGCAGACCCCTGAGCCCGAGGACCCGCCCGGGGCCCCCCACGCGGAGGAAGAGGGGGCTGAGGACTGAGGCCCCGACTCTTCCTCCCCTCTTGTCCCCTGCGGAATGTTGGGTGTCACCCTTGGGGGAAAGGTGGGGAGAAAGGGACGGACTTGGATTCAGACTTGGGCTTGGAATGCTCTCTGGTTGCCGTGGAGATCCGCGGGGAGGGGTCGGGGGCCAAGCTGCACAATTTAATATATTCACGAGTGAGGGGAGGGAGCAGTGGATCTTCAGGGTTCTTTTTCGGAGGGCGGGGGGGGTTCTCTTCCTTTCTGCCTCCTAGTGATGTGCCTTTGGGAGGGGGAGGAGGTTGGCCACGCTGCTGAGGTGGGTGCGCGGTCCTCACAGCCCCTAGTGGGGCCCTGAGCCCGGTGGGGGTGGGGGGGCGCCTTGCCAGGAGCAGCCTTGAGGGAGGGGCTGGGTCCAGGCTGGGGGGACCACAGGAGAAGCTGGAGCCCCACAGGCTCCCCCAAAGGCCTCCCATGCCCAGGGCAGCTGCTCCCAGGTGGCACCGAAGTGGCCCTCCCTCGATGGCGTGCTTGGGAGTCAGGTCTGGGCAGGACCCTGCTGACTCATGGCCCTGGAGCTGGGAGCCAGGCTCTCTGGGCCTCTCTGGCTTCCTTGGCTTTCCAGGGGGTGGAGGGAGGCAAGGAAGGAGCCTTCCTGGGCCAGGGAGAGGGGAGGGCTCCCAGATCATCACCAGAGTGTCCCTCCCTCTCCCTCTCCCTCTCCCCCCCCCCCCCCCCCCCCAGTTCTGGGTCCCTCGGAGAGCTGGTGGAGCCAGCCTTTCCCCTCCTGGGGAGCGCTTTCTAAATATCTGACGGTGGGGAGGCTCCAAAGAGGGACCTGGGTGGGGTGGACTCTGGCTGAGCCTCAAGAAACTAGGGAGAGGAGGGGGTGGGTCCTTGGTGGCCAGTGTCCCCATAGCTCTCCAGCAGCTCTCCATCCATCACCTCCCTCCCAGCTGCACTTTAACCCAGAGGGGGAGTGGGGTCCTGGGGACAGGGCAGGCGGGCAGTGAGGAGTGCCCCTCGGGACCCCTTCCCGCCTGTGTCTGCTCCTCTGACCCCAGGGCGGCTGGTAGCTCCCCCAGCCCCCTGCCTGGGGGTGCCCCCGGCCCTCACGGCTGTTCCGACAAGAGCTTCTGGAGCTTGTAACCAGCAGATTGTTTCCCTGACGGACCCTGAGTTTTCTCATGAATAAATTCGTTCAATGCTTGTGTTCTCTTCCTTACTAGGGGTGGGGGTGGGGGCTCTGCTGACCCAGGGTACCCCCAAGGGGCCCTTGCTGAGGCCTAGGGGGAGGGGGTCGGGCTGCACAGTGAGCCCCCCCTCCCCCAGCACACCCTCCCTGGGGCCTAGTGACCCTCTCACTTTCCTGCGGTGTTGGCTCCCACCTCTTTCCTTGGGCGCCCACTTCTGTGGGCCTTGGGTGGGCCACCAGACCAGGCACTTCCAGTCTTGACCTTGGTCCCTTGGGCTTGCCTCCCGTCAGCCCTCTTCATCCTCACAGTGAGCCGGCATCAGCCCTTTCCTGGACCCCAGCCTAGCTCGGCCCAGAAGGGGAAAGAAACAAAACCAGTGGTTCTAAACGAATATACGAGGTGGGGTGTTGTACCTACTAGGTGCCAGGCCGGGCACCTGACCGCCTCACAATGACCCTATGGGTTTGGTATCATTGCCCCCCATGCCATTTGGTTCCCCCCACATTCTCCATTGAGACACCGCGGAGCTGGTGGTGTGGGTGAGGACTCTGACCCTTTCTTCCTCACACACATCGCTGTAAACACCATGTACCAGGCAATTTACATATATTATTTCTAATCCATGGAAAATCCTCCTTTTGCAACTGAGCGCGTTCATACCCTGGGAAGGCTGTGCCCAGGCTGGGAGGCAGCGGTGCCGGGAGTCTAACCTTGCGCCCTCTAGCGACAAGGACTGTGTACTACACACGTGGTTTCCCCAGTGGACACAGCCTTCCCTTCTTGGCTCTTCTGCGCTGTTGTGTGACGTCGCTCCTTGCAGTTGTTTGGACATACCCATCCATGGGTATGACCTGGACTTGGATTGGAGAGAAGCATAGCTCCTGTATGCAGACTTTAGTGACCCCTAGTCTGGTAGGGACAAGCCCTGGCCATATTAGTAGCCATTCTTTACGGCTGGTGGTGAGGACTGACGGGAGGGCACAGAGAAGATGCTGCGGCGCTTCCAAGGACTCAGAGACCAGGTCCAAAAGAAGGACTTCCTGGGACCGTGTCCTTGGTGCTGGACCTCTGAGGCCCAAGGACCGTCTTGGCAGGATGAATCTTGGTCAGGAGCCGCCTCCATCCTGTGTGTGGAACAAGGCAGTGTAGACATACAAAGAGATTAAGAGGCCGGTTGGAAAGAAAGCAGGAAGGTGGGTTGGCGCGGCTGGTGGCAGGTCTGGAATGCTAGCCAGAGTTCAGACTTCATTCTCTTTGCAGTAAGCGCCCCGGAGGCGTCTGCACAGAGCTGGGTTTCTGGGAGAGCGGAGACCCGCGGCGGTGACTGCAGTGGTCCAGGCAGGAGAGGACGGACGCCAGAATTGGGCGGGGGCAAAGGCGCGCTGGGGAGGCGGGGCGAGGAGGAGAGGCGCCGCTGATTGGATGCGGGAGCAGCAAATGGGAGGAGCCAGACTTGATTGCTGGCAAACCCTTGAGAAGCGGCGCTAGCGGTGCCAGCCTGCCCCTGGGAGTGAGGTGCACGGAGCAGTGACTTCGATTTTCCTCCTGGCCAACCTCAAGCTGAACCACCCAGAGAGCCCCCCGCCCCACAGCGATGGTGGAAGGACCTAAAATCTTTACAAGGGATTAACGCTGACAGCACAGGCCCCTCCCCGCAAGGGCGGGCGAGTAATTAGCTCCAGCTTCCCCACCTCGTTGGTTTACGTGGAACCTACAACTCCCAGCTAGTTTTCTTCCTCTGCTGCATGCCTCTGGGAATATCCAGTCGCGCTGGGTTCAAATCCTGGTCGGGCCACTTCTTAGCTGTGCAATCTCGAGGAGGTCGGTTAAACTCTGAGGCTCAGTTTCCCCATCTGTAACATGGGGACTAATGATCACACCTCTCTTAACTCCCAGGGTCGTGGTGAGCTTTACATAAATTGATGTACAAATGGAGCTTGGAACGGTGCCTGGAAAGTAGGAAGACCTTGAAAAACGAGCTGTTGGTGCAGCTGGCTGGCTCAGTCGGTAGAGGATGTGACTTTCCATCTCAGGGTCCTGAGTTCAAGCCCCACATTGGGTGTAGAGTTTACATTAAAAAACAAAACACACATACACAAGAAAAATGCCAGCTGTCGTTCTAATTATCGAGAATGAGTGATTGGGTCACAACTGCTGGTGGATGGGCTGATAGTTTTATTCATTCATTCATTCATTCATTCACTGAACAGATGTTTACTGAGGAGCTTAATATATGCTGAGCCTACAGCAGTGAACGAAACTGACCACGAACACAAGGAATTTATCCAGTTAATCAGCATCTTCTGCAAAAGCAGCTTTGGGCAGACCTCACAACCTCCCTGGACCTCAGTTTCTCCCTCCCTGTAATGCAGAATTCTGGCAGGCATAATAGAGGTGGCACCAGCCTTCTCCTCCAGAAAGGGAGCTCCCCATGGCTAGAAGTAATCAAGAAGAGACTGAGCATCCCTGAAGGCCCCTCTCTACCCTGAGACATTAAGGGTGTTTAGGACTTTATTATTCCATGACAGAGATGATAAACTTTAAGAGCACACACATGGAGCTTTAAGAAAAGTTCTTACATTCAAGATAATAACAGTGTGGCCACAAGGTGGCACCACTACCCAGCCCAATCTAGAAAAAAAATTTTTTTTTTTTTTAAATTATAGTTAAGTACAGATCACAATATAACAAACATCTTGGGGGGCTCCTGGGGGGCTCAGTCAGTTAAGCGTACGACTCTTTATTTCAACTTAGGTCATGATCTCCCAGTTCGGGAATGGAGCCCCATATCAGGCTCTGCACTGACAGCTTGGAGCCTACTTGGGATTCTCTCTCCCCACCCCCTACCCCCACACCCCTCCCGGTTCACGTGTGCACGCTCTCTTCCTCCCTCCCTCTCTCAAAATAAATAAATAAATAAACATGAAAAAAAGTCCTCAAACATTTGTGAATCCGTCACCCAGAATAAACAAATAATAAAGTTGTCATGTTTTCTTTAGACTTATAAATGAATGAATGAATGAATGAATGAATAAAGGCCTCCTCCTCCTCCACAGCCCCATCTGTGGGCAAGCCTGGGACTCTGAGCACCAAATAGTGACTTGAGGGTGGAGGTTTTTCTGTCTTGGGCGTTGGACGGTCCAGAGTTTCAGCTCCCCTTGATCTCTTGCTGACCTTGGGTGAGTCCCAGCTTAACACCCACATATCAGCATTATTGTAGCGGGAAGAATAATAGAGTAAAGCCTCTGGAACACGGCGCGAATCGTGTACATGGGAGGTACTCCTTTGCAGTTTCTGTGGAGGGAAAAAGACCGCCTCCCCCCTCAGATTCCCTCAGGCAGCTCTCCGTGTTTTCTTTTCTTCCCCATAGCAGTGATCCCTTTACGGCGACTTTAAAGGTTTATTATGCTTATTGTTTACTGTCTGTCTCCTTCGACTAGAATGTAAACTCCGTGAAGCTGGATGTTGGTTGTGGTTACTCTCGTGTCCTGATTGGTCAGAATAGTGCCTAACACCTAGTAGGTGCTCAATAAATGTGTGTTGAATGAATGAGTGGAAGCCCCAGTATTGATCTGTGAAGTGTCTGGTAGAGATTCTTCTTAGCTAGGGGAAGAGACACACAGAGGGGTCTCCTTCCGGGGGTGTTACACCCAACCTCTCTACCTGCGGTGTCTCCACCGCATCTGGCCTAAGGATTCCCGAATCGGAGACTTCACCCCCAGCGAGGCTGTCGGGAATGTAGGTTTCTGCTCAAAGGAACCCAAGGAGGAGGTAACCTGCTGTTTAAAGGTTTGAAGGACTACAAATACTATTCTATACGTACATATGTGCACATATGCGTGTGTGTACACACTGGAGGGCAAGCGAGCTCCCCAGTAGCTCCCAACGGGCTCCCCCTGCTAGCGCGACGACCCCCGCTGCGGGTGGGCAGCCCCCCGTTGGGGAGCAGTCCTAGGTAGCCGCGGCCACAGCCCCTCCTCTGAGTTCCTCCTGCGCCGCCGCCGCGAGAGGGTCGGAGAGGGGTGTGCGGGGTGGAGGAGGCCGAGGCTGGGGCGGCGACCTGGGGGTGCGGAGGGCCCCGAGCGCGGCGGGGCGGGGGCTCGGCTGTCCCCGCCC